ATCAATTATATATATATATATATATATATATATATATATATATATATATATATATATATATATATATTATATTATATATAATATTATATATTATTATTCAATCAATTATATATATAATTGATACGATAGTGATTGAAATCATGCTTCATTTTGCAACAATTTCGGTCTTTTTTACTTCTTCGCATTTTGGTTTGCACAATCGTTTACGTTCACACGACAAACGCGGAAAGAATTTTCACGTATCATTGAAAATTATTTACGCCGGTCAAACTTCTGTCCATCCGGCAAGGTTATGATAATTAAATTTATTCTTTACTACCTGTTATCAATATTACGTCATTCAGTAATAAACATCATTGGACTCCGGATCTTTATGCAAATATCTATTTTCATAGATTATTTAGAAAAAAGATGGAAGTAGAAACGAACTTTGTTTCGTTGAATACAAATTTCCTTGCATTGCGAATGAAATAGAAATGTAATTACCGCATGACGTCTGCGTTTTCTTGTATTTTACTAATTCACGAACAGCATTAATGCATAAAAATCCTAAACAGTTCAAATGCGACGTTTTTCGATCGAAGTTTTTCCGCAGTCCGCGCAATGTGTCGCACTTTTCTATGAAACAAGTGGAACGAAATAAGCGAGTTCCGTTTTGCGGTTACATCGAGGGTCACAAAGAAATACCGCGACTCTTAAGATGTTGCAATACACCTCAGTTTTTTATGAATGTACCGTGGATAAGCCTCTATTTACCTCATTTTAATTTGAGCGCTAGGGAACATATTGCGTTGTGCCAGCTCCGGCTTCGCCTCCTTTCCGTCGGCCTCACATTTCCGTCTGCAATTAAAAGTCCACGTTATCTTGCGCACGTATAATGCAATGCTGCAAAGAAATACATCACATTTCTTTAAATACACAGGTCCCCGTAAAAACACGGATTCTCGTGGAACGTGGGTTCGCGGTAACGTGGTCGACAGTTTCGCGAGAACTACTATATCATTTCATTTCTGTCCGAATCTTATACGTTTATAGTACTACTTTCGTAAAAAGTATCATATAATCTGGGTTACTGAAAAATTTTAATTGTATTTTCATCAGCGTCTAGCAATTCTTCATTAATTTACTACGTACTGCTGGCAAAAATCCCAAGATCAAATCCAAAATTATGGAATAATTGGAAAATTTTATATATATGTGCATTATTTTATTATATTATATCACAATTATTATTATTACATTATTATATATATATTATATCATATATATATATTATAATATTGTATATATAATATATAAGATAAAGATCAAATTCAAAATTATGGATTAATTAGAAAATTTTATATATATGTACATTATTTTATTATATTATATCACAATTATTATTATTATATTATTATATATATATATTGTATATTATATTATATATATATATATATTATAATATTATATTATTATATAATATATAATATAATAAATATAATTATATATAATATATATTATACATAATTATATTTATTATATATTATACATAATTATATTTATTATATTATATAATAATATTATTATTATAATATTATTATTATATCACAATTTATTGAAATC